ACTTGAACCTACTAACTTGATTAAATAATTATTTATTACAGTATAAATTTTTGTTTTCGATTAAATGTTTATTAAGTCTGTTATGCATAATACGCTCAGTTAGTTTTGAAAAGCAGGGCAAGAAAGATTTTCAAACCTTTAAAAACCATTCTACTGACTATGCAATTGTAGAATGGGTCAAGCATTTATCAAATGGGTTATATATATACAACAGGGTATTTTTATTGATTTTATTAATTGATCACAAGCTTAAGACACTAGATGCATTTGAAAAAAACTAGAACACTATGGTGCTAAAAAATGTTTACATTAATTTAAATCATTAAAATCAAAATCAGATGTTAAAATCATTTCCCTGACGATACTTTAACAAAGCAGACATTAAAATCAGATGTTAAAATCATTCCCCTGACGATACTTTAACAAAGCAGACATTAAAATCAGATGTTAAAATCATTACCCTGACGATACTTTAACAAAGCAGACATTAAAATCAGATGTTAAAATCATTTCCCTGACGATACTTTAACAAAGCAGACATTAAAATCAGATGTTAAAATCATTCCCCTGACGATACTTTAACAAAGCAGACATTAAAATCAGATGTTAAAATCATTTCCCTGACGATACTTTAACAAAGCAGACATTAAAATCAGATGTTAAAATCATTCCCCTGACGATACTTTAACAAAGCAGACATTAAAATCAGATGTTAAAATCATTTCCCTGACGATACTTTAACGAAGCAGACATTAAAATCAGATGTTAAAATCATTCCTCTGACGATACTTAATTACGATACTTACGATACTTACGATACTAACAAAACAGACATTAAAAGCAATAAATATATTTTCAAAAAATTTGATAAAGAATAATATTTGCGTTTAAGGTTGTAATCGTGATGCGCGTTTAAATAGTGAAATATTTGAAACGTTTATATTTAAGTTAAGAGAAGTTAAAAAATTTTTAATGTTTGAAAAATGTAGCATCTCTATATTGCTTCACAAACAACATAGATGACACATTTTGCAGATCCGTTCAAACAACGACTACTCTATAAAACGACAATAACGATTGTATGGAACGCATTCTGAATGCGTTTGCTGATAGAGGCATGTTATCAACTTTTAAAGACTGATTGACTTTATTAAAATAACTCAAAACCAACTAAAACAAGATTTAATTACAAAAACAACACCTTTGAACATTCTTGACAATTAGACTACTTAATATGTATTTACAAAAATAATAAATAAATATAAGTAAGTTCTTTATTGACTATGTATTAATATGATTATTGACTCTATTGTAGTCATATATTGTATGCATATAAATAAAAGGTCTTGAAAAGTCTATGGATAACTGTGCAATTTTATTCTATTTAGATGTCTTTAAAATAACTTTCCTCAAAATCTGTTAGATGAAATGATAAAAAAACATTAATTTTATTGTTCTTTCAAATTATTTTTATATTTGGTTAATCTGTTAACAGTCTATAATCTACAGTGGCGGATTAAGACTTCTTGGCACTGATAATCTACATTTAAAAAAAACCAAAACACTAATGATTACGCACGTTAATGACTTTCTTTTCAAATCTCAACCTCTCCCTTATTATTTTGACTTAATTAAGGGATGTCCCTTTAGTTAAACTAAATTCTTGTAAAGTAATTGTTTTAACTAAAGCAAACACTCTGAAGTTTCAAAAATTTTAATTATGCACTTCAATTGTATTTAAGCGCTCAGTGTGTCATTTGAGTAATCTAGGAGAACAAAATTCCAAATGCAAAAAAAATCTACACTTTTGCGTACATTTATAAGTATAGTAACTACATAATGCAAAACAATAGAAATGAAATGAGTAAATTATAAATTTTTATTGCTATATCGATAAAAGAAATTTATGCAAAACTTTTTTTTTAAAATAGAAAATTACAATTTTCATCAAACAAAAGAATTAACTCAATTATTTGGTATCAGTGGTAATAAAATATTTTTTGAATGAGTCTTCAGGTGTGTCTTTAAAATCATTTCTTAGAAAGTCTCACTTAGCTCGCTTTCTAATAAATTAAACAAATCAGTATTCATTTTAGCATTCTTAGCCTTTTTTTCTTTTACTTTTTTATTCTTAGTTTGTTAGTAATATTCCTAGGACATACTCTCAAACTTACGAACAAGATCCAAATTTGAAGTAAGATTACAGATCCGGATCTGAAGATATTAAAAGTTCAATAAATCCATGGTTGTGTCTATTTGTTATGCTTTCCTCGTAAAGTGTTCCCTTTGTTGCTTGTTGTGTTTGTTTTAAGGCTGTTTAGCCTCTTTCTTTTTATTTTTGAGAAAATTTTTTTTAAAAGAATGTTTGATGGGTCAACAATACCAAGTAGATGATTAGGCAGGGTTTTTTCAAACTATGGTTTGAGTATCCCCTATAGAACAGTAAGTT